GGGAGTTGAAGATCTCTCTGACAGGGGATTCTGCTAAACGTTCCCAACAGACCCTCACAATACGTTTGGGTCTGCCGAGTCTGTCCAGCTTCCTCCCCCGCCATCGGATCCAGCTCACCACCAGGTGGTGATCAGTTGACAGCTCCGCCCCTCTCTTCACCCGAGTGTCCAAGACATACGGCCGGAGGTCAGATGAAACAACCACAAAGTCGATCATCGACCTCCGGCCTAGGGTGTCCTGGTGCCATGTGCACTGATGGACACCCTTATGCTTGAACATGGTGTTTGTTATGGACAAACTGTGGCTAGCACAGAAGTCCAATAACAAAACACCACTCGGGTTCAGATCGGGGGGGCCATTCTTCCCAATCACGCCCCTCCAGGTGTCACTGTCGCTGCCCACGTGGGCGTTGAAGTCCCCCAGTAGAACAACGCTTATAAGTGCTCCAAAAATAGAAATAAAATAAATAGAAATCTAAATATCTGCAGTTACAGTATAACTAGGAAAATACTGTCTGCTGATCAAGCTCCAGAACAGCTACCAAATGGACCTTGGTGTGAAACTGTTTTCTCAACTGAATAATGTGATTTCTAACCTCCTGACATCAAGCAAAATCCTTTGCCCACAGAGGCATGATAAAGCTGAATAACAATATGAGAAATTTGGAGAGGACTTATTGAAATCATTAATTAATTTAGAACATACATACTTTATATGGTAGTCTATATATTTTTGCCTGGACACTGGCTCAGACTCATTTACTTCCATATGCTGTTTTAGATATATTTAGTTTGGCTTTGTATCCTGTTGGAAATTTACAAATGCTCAAAGAATTTGGGCCATGAGGGTTTTATGTGATTTTGCTGTCCAAAATATACAGAACAAACCCCTTAAGAGGAAGTCTGCTGGACTTCAGTTAAGTTTAACATCTCAACCAGCTTGTTGGTCTTTGAAGTCTTCAAAGAGAAAAATGTGTGAGAGAAAAAAAAAATCTCAAGGATATTTTCCTTGGAATATCTAAAGACTGCTGCTGGTTAAGGGGAGATCATGTACCCTCTAATCCCCTGGTTTGTCCATGCTCAAGCTTCTATAACATAACCAAAACACTGGCTCTCATTCAAAATGTTTGCCCATCTTTATAAATACTAATCTACATTAGGAACCAAAAGAGTGACTCACAATTCTCCATTTGAGGATGTACTGAGTAATGTGAACAGATGAAGGGGGGTTCCACTGAATGGGGTGGGAGTCTAGCTGTTTTCCAGCCTCTGTGATGATTACCTGGACAGGTCTGTGGCCGTCTGAAGAGTAAGAGCAGCAGGTGTATGAAAAAATTTAGGAGAAGACATCAGGAGATACATGAACAAAAAGACTATTAGCATTGAGGAAAAAGGCACACACTGTCAAAGACACATTACAGTGTCAACTGTAGAGAGTGTGGGTGAAATCTGGCTTGGTGATGGATTCTTCATACTGGGACAGAACCAAAACCACCAGCCAGTGCCAAACCAGATGAAGCACCCTCAGACATCTTACAGTCTGATATAACACCGGAGTACTATATTCATCACAGTTTACATAGCCTCTGTGCCCTCAACAACACACACACACACACCTACACACTTCCTGCTCTGCACACATACACACAAACATTTTGTACTTTGCTTTGCTTCTGGTCATGATAAATGTTGCAACTCTTATGTTTCAGGTCAGTGTTCGATTCAGGGAACACAAGGTGCTGCAGTACAAAGTATCACATTAAGTACCTTTCACACAACCAGAGGGACATACGGGAGTCAGGAAGTATTTATAAGGTTACAGCTGCACTCCACCCATTCCAACAGCCCTTTCCCCTCTGCAGGTCAGTACAACACTCAAAAAGTACAACACTCAAAACTAGGCGGGGGAGGAAAAACCTCTCCAACTACAAAGACAGCGGTGATGCGACTGGCCAGCACGTCCATTTGCCAGACTTCAAAGTAAGAAAAAAAACCCAAAAGAAAAACGCCAAACCCCAACTTTTCTCCTCTAACCTAAAGTGAAATGTTTTTATTTCAGTGGTAGGATGTTAGGGGTAGGCAAGAGCAACTATGTCAATAACATCAGGGAGATGAATAACTGCAGCAATCGCAGTTCACAGTTCTCTGATTCAGTGGAAAAACTGCAGAAAGGGATGGAAAGGCACTGGAGAAATAAACAAAAATGCTGGAATACACCATCCAATAAAATATTATTTATTATTTGGCTATGATGACTGCGAGGAATTGTCTTACGCTGCTCTTTTGCAAGCGCAAGTCAGCATAGACAGTCGGCAAAGGTTATCTTGTTGTGTACAGGGATTTAGGATTTAATTCTCTCACACCCTGATGGAGACTCCGACCACAGCCAGAGTTATCAAACAATTATCACAACTAATGATACTGGGAAAACTATTTTTCCTACCTGGGTAGGTCTGCTGAGGTTCACAGCTCATCTGTCCAGCCCCGTTTCCATAGCAATAACAGCGGTGGCGAATGCCATGGAGGACTTTGTCCCATGACTCTCCAATCTGATAGAATACTTTCGTTTGTGGCTCGTGACACTGATCTATTGAAAACACAAGAACACAATAGATGGGACAAATAAGGGGGAGGTTGTTTTCTCAGATGTAAAGCTCTGAGCATTAAACTCCCTAACAGCTGAGCTACTAAGTCATGCACGCACCAACTGCATCACACTTCCAGCGTCCACGTCCCTGTCCATAGCAGGTGCAGTTCATCAGGTAGCCCTCATTATGGCGCTTTGTGAATAACTCGTTTACCTCATAGGTCTGGCCGTCAACAATGCACTGATCTGGACGTGTAAAAAAACAAGAAATACACCTTTTATGCTCTAAAGTCAGATTATATCACTTCAAGGACTATATTCAATTTATGCAAAATTTAGTTTCACTTCCAGATGGAGTTCGCTCCCTGACCTCGAAGCGTGGAGTAAGCAACACAGTTCCACTCGCCACGGCCGTTGCCCAGGCATGTGCACTCCATCATGTGGCCCATGACATCATGGCGTTTGTCCCACTTATCGCCAACACGGTACATCATTCCATCGTTGGTGGTACATACCTCCTCATGGGCTACATGAAGAAAGACAACAGCTGTTTGTAATGTAATAATTTTAGATGAACAGATAGTCAATACTTCTCCGTGACCATAAACCTTCTCTCCTCTAAATGCCAGTTATTTAGTCCCTAATTGTCTACAAGTGACTCATACAATCATGCTCTTCAAAAGTAAGATATCTATGACAAGTTAATGTGGCCTTTTATTAATGATATCAGTACAATTTGACATATGCTATAGTTGCACATTGGGTGGGTGTCCTGTAGTTACACAGAGTTTAAAAATACTTCAAATGAACAGGGACTGTGTTTTTTGTTTGTTTCAGAAAGGCTTTTTTACTTTCGGTTAGGAGTTTGTCATATTAACATACAGACATGGGAGTAGTATTGATATCTTCTATTCTTGGCAGGAAAATTAATTTCACAAAATGTCAATCGCATCTATTTTCATTAACATTATGATTGTATATTTTATAATGTTTGTGTAGACATTTGGAATCATTTCACTGAAAAATAAAATTGAACTGAAAACCTTCATAGCAACTACATGGTGGGGAACAAGTAAAAAGCTGTGTGCACATACTCACCAGCCATGGGGCAGAATCCATAGCGCTGCTCTGCGTCGTAGTTGTAGGTGGTACCACACCACCTCATACTGTCACGGCGACCGTGAGAGGTGCAGTCAGTGTAGTTATGGCCACTGTAGAGGAAGGGGAAGTGGCACAGGGCACCGTTGGAGTTGCCACCTCGTGTTACCACAATGGCTGGAAATGAGAAGACGACACAACAGTTGCTGTTCATCTCTGGTTACCATTACTAGCAAGTCAAGTCTTCAGCTGAGGTCTTTCTAAACAGCTTGGCCAGTATTTGCACCACTGCCTTTAAATATGACAATTTTTTAAGCGCTATATAAACATTTGAGAAATTAGTTGTAGCACACTATTATGTATATTTGTATGCTGCTATAAGAATATTTGTATTATCTGCATTATTCTTCTACAATATGAAGACATTTGATTTTATTACAAATGTTTTATTCTATTGTCATTGTCTCTGTTATCATTATTCATATACATGTGTCCACAGGAGGAGTTTAAGTTGTTAATAAACACTTGCTACACTAACAACTCTATTAGTGTAATTAAATGTATGTCTCTTATAACAGCTAAAAGGTGGACTGAAATTGTTAACATCAAAACAAAGAAAATGGAAGTGAAAAGGAAACAAATTCCATTGCAGGTTTAACGGACAAAGTAAGAAACTGGAAAGTAATCACTAATATATCAGTGGTGGGTAATTTTAACTGGAAACAGCCACTGCTTAATAAAAAGGCCAATATCAGCCCAATACAACAACAAAAGGGTCAAACCCAGTTTTATATCCATCTTCTTGAGTCTCACCATTCTTCTCAGTACAGAAAGAGTACTGCTGGTCTCTCTCATAGTCTGAGGTTGTGGCGCACCAGAGCTGTCCATCAGTGCGCCCGTCAGAAGTGCAGGAGTAGTGTGTGTTCCCCATGAAGACGAAGGGGAACACACATGGCTGGCCATTAGAGTTACCACCATATACCTGGTTCGTGGCCTCTGCGCAGGAAAGGAGAGGGAAAATAAAAATCTTTTCTTCACTGAGACCCATGGCTGTGCTGCACCCACCCTTCTGTACTCACCCCACTCCTGACAGCTGACTCCATTGCCCAGACACATACAAAGCATCTGCACGCTGCCCTGGTTTCTAATCCAGCGCTGTCCGTCGTAGAAGGTGGCTCCAGAGTCTGTGCGGCAGGTTCCCTCACCAGGGATATCAGGCCCCACCTGATACTGGGAAATGACAGGTTGTACCCTGACAGTACCTGTGGCTGTATAGATTGAAAATGCCAAATATCAGGGCTGTGAACACTAAGAAAATCAGAGTGAAGTTTCTACCACTTGGACAACACTCCTAGTGAAAGTGAACTTGAGCCTCACATTGGCCTGTGATGTGTCTTTCACACTTTGACTCTCCACGGCCATTTCCTAAGCACACACATGGCACGGGATGCCCACTTGAGTCAGTCACTGTCCATTTGTCTCCGATACGGTAGGACTTCTTGCTTTTATTGTCATTGCAGCGATCTGGTTGAAGAACAATAGGTGTAAGCAGCTACCATTGAATTATGCACAAGTGTGTGTTCATGCATATGTTTAGAGTTTGCTTACTCCTTGAGGTACATGTGATTTGTCCATTTCCCTCTCCCAGGCAGGTACAGTCCAGCATCATCCAACCTTGGTACTGTTTCTCCCAGGTTGCCCCCACTAGGTATGATGTGCCATTGTCATAGCAATGCTCAGCTGCACAGAAAACACAGCAGAACCTTAATGTATTGCATATTTTCTTTATCACAAGATACCGTATGATCTGACATGAACTCACCGTCGCCCAAAATGTTTCCACAAGAACTAAACCATGTGGAAATCAATAGCTGTGTAAGATCAGCAAAGAGGAGAGGTGTGCTCTTTGACACACATACCTTGTTTGTCTAGACTGTTGCAAGATATCTATAATCAATATTAAACACAGTCACACTGCAGGGAACTGAACCTGCTGTAAATGTACGTGTCTGCGTGTGTGGTGGCAGCTGAATGTAAGAACATGTATGTTTAAGTTGCCATGTTTCACATTTATCTGCATTCCAGAGCTCATGTAGAAAGTGTTGACATTTTAAAAGTCCTCACCCACAGGTTTGCAAGTCCACTCTCCTTTGTTATTTCCAAGGCACACACAGTCCAGCATGTAGTCAGCAGTTTCATGAGGCCTCTGCCAAGTGTCTCCGATTTTATATGACCTCCCACCTTCCTGGCAACGATCTGGAAATGACACAGCTTTGAGGTTTACTGTAATTCTTTGCTATTTATTGGCATTATAATGCATCTGTCATTGAAATCTGATCTTCAGTCTTTGCAGCTTAAGTAAAATGTAATTTTCCATAAATAAAGCAGGCAGAAAAAATGCACAATAAGGAAATTAACTATGAATATTTAAAACCACACAAATCCAATTTTATCTGAATGAAAGGAAACTGAAATGTACTTTTTTAAGTAAAATATTTTGTGTGTTGTCTAGTTTTTACTCACTTGCGATGCTACAAGCTATCTTATTCCGACCAGAACCAATACAGGTGCAGTCCCATATCATCCCGTCCTTTCGGACCTCATAGGTCTCACCAACGCGGTATGTCCGGTCATTGTGCTTATCATAACACGTCTCCTCCTCTGAGAGAAAAACAGAGGAAACACCACACAGTCCAGAGGTTATTACATAACGCATAACGCACTAATGGCTGAAGTAATGATATCTCAATGTGTTCTGAAGGGGGTTTTTGTTGTTGTTGTTGTTTTAAGTAACTCGGGCCTGTTGTTTAACTTGTGGTGTGAATTATTACTTCACTTGCTGGTATTGATACAAATGTTCTGAAACAAAGGCAGTGATCCTAAACCAAAGCCAGTCCTCACTTGTGAAAAATGAACATGGCAAGAAATGGCCTGCTGACAGATTTCTGTATTAAACATGTTGGTCTGGCACTGACCTGCAGACTTAGTTTTACACTGGATGCCAGCTGCTCCGTTACAGGTGCACACCAGTGTACTGCCGCGGTACGGTTTCTCCCACTGCTCGTTCAGTCTGTATGAGCGGCCGTTTTCCTCACAGCCATCTACAAAATCCATAACAGGAACATATCGACATATAAATTATCACACATTTGAATTGTTAAGTGGCCGCTCGGGTTATGGCTAATTTGTTTCATCTCAGAAGAAATATTAAACCAGATGAATCCCAAATAAAATCATACCACTTCATTTGCAGAAAGAAAATGATCTTTGACGTCTTACACAATAAGGAGAGTTCAACTTTCCCAGTACCCACCTGAAGAGTCGATGGTCGTGATTTCTGCGACGTTGAGCTGAGGATACACCTGATACTGGCCTGATTGTTGTCTTTTGGTCTTCTTTGGCAAACCGTGGACTGCGCTGCTTACGCACAACGTAACCAGCAACCCTGTCAGCAGGCTACCAGTCATTTTGTAGGAAATAAAAAGATTTCTATGTAAAGTATTAAACAGCTAGTTAGAAAGCAAAGTTTTTAAAAAAAGAAACTTAGGTTTAGCTTGGAGAGATCTAGTTTCTGTCCCTTGTTCTCAGCTCCCCGTCGAGCTGGTGCACCAGACTGAGGAGAGGGAGCGCACGGGCTTTATACCCGGACACACCGCTGCAGCCTGCTGAAGGGGAGGGTTTTAACAGCAGCTTGGATGACCCGCCCGAGTGTGAGTAATAATGACGCCACAGAAAGTTCACTCTCAAGGAACGAAAAAAACCACAAGATAAACAAAGTTATAAAATGAGGGGGCTTCTAAATCTGCTCCTACGTCTGTAATGAGGAGCTGCCAGTCAGAGAGTGAGGGACACGAATGTCAACGTGAATCAATGCAACCAGTAGAGGACAACAATGCAAAAGTAAATAAGTGTTGCGAATTATATGTAATATCCAGATATAAAACACACAAAAATAAATAAAATATAGTCACAAAATTATAGGGTTATGGTATTAGCTTTATGTTGTAGCTCCCGCAACAATCCCATGTCATCCAACTCTCAGAACTGGGAACTATAACAAGATTAACATCAGATTGAATAGAAGAACATCGTCATTTTTAAATTATATGGCAATCCATGACAGCTGAGGGGCACCTGGCATCTGTCTGACTTCACTATGTGTGTACAGTACTTTGTTTCAGTGAACAAAAACATCCAGGGGCTGAACACAGCAGCCTGCTGATGAATGGGGGAAGAGTGAAAATCCAGATTGTCTGTCCAGACAGGACTTCACTGTTATAATTGTCTGTCCATGTTGAGAAATCAAGCACAATCATCATTGCTCACCAGCTGTTTTTTCCATTATTTCATCTGTTAAAAGTTAGTCTAGATTCTTTTTGATACTACATTGGCAAATGCTGACAAAAAAATTGTTATTGAATGTGTGCCTACTGTAAACAGTAGGCGCCTATAACGCTTTCCCCTACACCTGCTCTACATCTATCACAGTGTTTTTCCTTTCTTCATTTGTCATCTGTCCGGTTTAGCCCAAGAGTGTGTTACAGAGAAAAAAAAATACTTATTTATACTAAGTACTTTCTCTTATGTCCATAACTCACAGTCTGCATAACCTTTCCAGACAAGCGCTATCGTCTGTGTAGATGTTAACCTGTGCAATAAAGCCAGGGTTCCACTACAATGAAAAAATGTACTTTTGAAGTTTTTTTTTTTACATAATTATTCCTTCATCGACAAATACATTTCATTTCATTCCCCTAGGGCTCTGCTTAATTGACTTGAAAGTGAAATAATGTCCTTTGATTGCACATTACATATAAAAGTTCATTTGACCCAACAAAAGTCTGTGAGGTGAGATTGTGAAAAGTTAATTTCCTTGTCCATAAAACTTGGAGAGAAGATAATAACTGTAACCACAGAATTCAGTCATGTCATAGTGCTGCTAAAACTTACTCATGGAGCTGGTCTGGAGAGCAGCTACTGTGTGTGAGGCTGCTGCCCAATAATCCCTGTCACGGGGCTCATGGGACGAGTTATGCCTGAGGGCTGAAGAGTGAAACAGCAAGCAGACTTCTTTTTTGGCAAAACAGAGGTAGAAAACAAAGTGTTTTTAAAGTGAGTGCAATTGACTCACCAATCTCTCCCATGTGGAAAAAGCCTCCACATACTTTCCACTTATGAAATGGGACCAAAGTGTGAAGAATCAAAACACAGGCCATTTGAAGATTCAGGATTTTAAATATTACTTTGAAAATGTAATTTTCATATTCACTTATGTTTCCTGAAACATACATTTACTCTGTGAGCTATAGGGGAGGAAATGGTGTAAAACAATACATAACTATTTGTGAACAAAAGAGACATTCAGTTTTACTAGAATGGGGTAGGACTTAATTTTCTGGGGCTAAGTCTTTGATATGATTTATGAGCTGTCTTTGTCAAAACCTCTGGAAGGCAGCCTGGTTTATATCAAAGTGATTCACCTCATTGCTTCTTCTCTCTCTGTCTCTGTTTTCCATACATAACGACCATAGTTCAACAGAGATTTATCTGCTCCCTGGTTATTTTTGACTGTGATATTTTGTCGACTCTAAGAGTTTGGGAGCATAATGGATTGAATACCTGATGTAATAAAACTCAAGAACTGAAACTGGTATTACTGAAGAACATTTTCTAAAGCATGATGTAAGGTTTTACTGTATATTGGTGTTTATGTGGCTTTTCTACTTTTCAGTCTGACACAAGTTTCCATTAGTTTCAAAACAACAATGAAAACTGCTTGAGCAAGACAACCCATTATAATTTACACATATGTGTTTTAAAGTTGCATTACATTTGCATGGTTGGGAAGTAGTAAGATAGACTGATACGAAAAGTCTGCAATGCAACCATAGACTGTATATAAAATGGATGACGTGTCACCATTTCTTACCACAATGCAAAAGTGAAGCCAGGATATTGCGAATAAGGGGATGGGCATCTTACTTTTGTGACATGTTTTGCAACTATTCTGCACAGTAGCAACCAGAAATAGAGCCATCAATCAAAACTGTCAAATAATCTGGTATACACTCCTTTTTTTTTTTAAATCAGCAAGTAACTTTTTAAAACCTAATTTATCAAGATAATGACCACTTGTACACAAATCAATATGATAATTTTCCACCTAACATGACAGAAATTGCATTTATTCATGTCCCATTTCTATAAAGTATGGATCAGGCCATGTTTTTGTCTAAAAGCCAACTTGAGCCCCAAGAATATGGTGGCCTAGCCCGAGCCAAAGCCAACACAGTTGTGTTTTGCTATGGCCCTCGTGCATCTAACATCATGGAAAGCATTGTCATGCACTTAACCACCTCATCACAGCACTTTAAATTAGACTAAAGAATGGTTATCATTTACAAGTGAAATATTTACAAGTGCAATTATACCTCTTTAGCCTACAGTTTGACCTATGTGGTCAAACCTAACCTGAACATGATTTCTAAATTTCTGTCTGAACCTGACTCAAATCTTCAGGTACCAGCGGTTCCTGTCAGCCTCAGTTTGGGCATCCATCCCCAAATCTACAGGCATGGACAGGGTGGGGTTTGTGGCCTTTACTTCAACCAGACAGCAGGGGGCGATCAACTGGTGGTGGCTTCACTTCTGGGGAACTGACTATCTCTTATCTCTGTCATTTTCAGATTTGTTGTCTTCAGCCTGAACAGACACTCACTCAAGTGACATCAATTGAGGCAACATATAACTTGCTGCACAATACCCTCTGGAAACACAAAAGGCTTTATACAGCTTTTTTTCATCTATGCAACACCACTCCCCAAGACCTGTAACCAGGCTTTTATTAGTAAAACTGGTCACGTTCCCCTTCACGTCGTATTTTCATAAAAAGAGTCAAGCATCAAGTTGTGGTTTTGCAGGAGGTTACACAGGACTTTCTTGCTCAGCTGTTTAGTTACTGGCTGTGTCCTTATGGGATAAGCTTGTTATCAAATGTTTCCCTCGAACACTTAACAAGAAAGTGAATCCGCCCATTTCTCATTTGCTTTAAGTAAACAGTGTAAAAAAACAGCAATGTTTTAAAGTAGATTCTTCACATGTAAAGTCTTCTACGTGCTTGTTTTTAATGTTTGGTTCTCCACCCAGGCTTCACCAAACTGTGGATGGGCAGTTTGAAAAGTGAGAGCCAGATGGCAACAGCTGGATGGAATAACCAGGGGAGGGAATGGAGGATTGGGGGATGTGTGAAGTGATAAAGAGGTGGAAACAAAGTTGAGTAGATTTAGAACAAAGATAGAAAGTGTGAGGGCAAAGTGCCTGGTTTGTGTACTAGAAGGGTGGAGGGTAAGATGAGCAGCAATGGGACTATGGCTGTGGCTGTCACACCCATGTCTGGTTGTTCTTCAGCTTCCCTCTTCCAGCTCCCTGCTACCAGCTCCCTGCCTGGAGTGGCTGGATTTGTAGCTTGCAGTTGAAACACAAGCAGAAGTATGCACTACACACTCACGGGCCTGAAAACATGACATGGAAAAAATGCATTTATGCAGATGTTCATACTCCAGACAGCTACAGGGAGATGATAAAGTGGTTGAGCAACATAATTTGAGGTTGTCAGCAGTCCTTGTCATTGCTCAAGCCTGAATCAATCTTAATTTTCTGCACAGGGGTTGAAGAGCATCTGCTGCTCTGCTGATGACAAAGGCTAGAGGTCGCCAAGAGTGGGAGGCCCATGTGAAGAGGAACACTGACAGATCACTTCTCAAAAATTCCACAACACAATCCTCCAATACAGAGTTACTATGGAAACTGATTGGGTGGGACCATCAGCAAGGGTTTGACTTCACAAGTGAGGGGTATTGATGACAACGCTTCGACGACTGAATTACATGTTCAGTCACACGAGGCATTCACACACCCTCTTAAGCTGAGCTAACCTTAGTGTCAGTCCAGATGAGGAGCAAGGGGACCAGGCAGCCCTCTGTTTATAATCTATAGTGATTTGCAGCGATGCATAGCAAGTCTCAAGTTGACTCCCTTGTCCTTATAGGGCAAGTCCAGATCAAGCCACAACTAGTTATAAGCAAACTGCAAGTCAAGATGCACATCTCTCAGGTCGCACAATGCTAAAACTACTTATTTGTACATTTCTACTGCAGTTTTAAAGCTGTGTTAATAGTGTTATTTGAGATCAAGATAATGCACAAACCTTGAAGATGTACAGTGCCTTCTTGTCACGGTCTTATTTGTCTTGTGAAATTTTAACTTTAGAACTTAAATGTTGACATGAATATTTTTGTCTCAGATCAAGTCTTAATTTTGTGTCTTAAATCTAGCTCAACTTATTTTTGGCCACTTGGGTTCAGAAAAAGCACGATTGTTAATATAACACTGAAATAATTTTTAAGTTGATTTTGTGAAGGGTGGCACAGTGAGACAGCGATTAGCACTGTTGCCTCATGGTAAGAAGGCTCTGGGTTTGAGCCCAGGCAGACCCAGGGCCTTTCTGTGCAGAGTTTGCTTGTTCTCCCTGTGGCTGTGTGGGTTGTCTCCAGGTGCTCCTGCTTCCTCCCACAGTCCAAAGACATGCTGCTTATATTGACTGAAGACTCTAAATTGTGG